TTTTTGAAATGGAACAATTCCACTCCTTCACTGGACCTTAAAGGAAAGAACCAGGGAGGCCCCTTGCAGGAGCCCCCTCCATGTGATCCTCAGCAGGCAGGATTGCTGAGAGGAAATGGATGTTTGTGAAGTGGTCACAAACCACTTCACAAGGAAATTCTGCCTTTGATGGAGTTTACATGGTTCCTCCTATAACTTCTACTCCTTGGATATAGCTCAGTCCTAGGAGCAGAACAGAATGAGTTTCCTGTGGGAGCAGATAGATTTGCGTTTGAATCCTGGCTCCTTGGGGAAGTTACTTCAGCTGTTTGAGACTGGAAAACAGGGATGATAATAATAGCACCTAATATATATATAGTGCTGTTGTCGGGTTAAATGAAAGAAGCATGTGAAGCACTTAGCATAGGGCATATAATAGATGTTCTGAGGTAATAAATGGCTAGTCTGGTCTATTCTTTCTCCTGATATGGAGAAGGATGATGGTAGAATGGATACGCTGAGTCCCTGTCAGATTCAGAAATCTCTGAACCGGGTGTTCCACTTGGACAAGCTGGTTCTTCATGGTAAAGTCAAATGATTTACCTGAATGGAAATTAATGGGGTGGAGTGGGGGAAAGGAGACAGCAGGAAAGATCAACAAGTTGTTTTCAATCTTTTTCTCCTACAATATGCTAGAGGGATGTGGTCCACTCCCATGACTGCCTGTGGCTCCATAGGGCAATAGATTCAGTGATTTTTCCCTTGGAGGGAGGAGGGGGTGTTCTAAGAGGTCTATGTAGTTTGTAAAAGCTTTCCTATCCCTCCCTATTGCAGAAGGAAGGTTCTGACAGCCTCTTGGGAAAGATGTTATTTCTTCTTCCTCACTCCCAGTCGTGCGAATCATGGAAACGGGCACTGGGAAACACCCTGCCTTCTTGACAACTCTATCAAAGACAAGTGGGATTATGTAGCAACAGGTCAAGGCAGTGTTTCTAGTGTGGTCCCAGAACCAGTAGCATAAACATTACATGGGAATGTATTGGAAAGGAAAATTATTGAGCCCCATTCTTAGCAGTCTGTGTTTTAGTAAGCCTTCCAAGTAATTCTGATGCACGTTGCAGTCACCATATCATATAATGATGGGGACATATGAGACATAGGAGCTGAAATCATCACTCCATCTCGCAATCCTGGGTTTCCTCTGCCCTGCTTTTGGGTTCAGATTGCAGTAATCTCTAAGCTTGATACTCAACTGATATTCTGGATGGTTCATATTAGGAAGATTGAGCTGTGCTATCAACATTTCTATCATCACATTGTGTAAGGATTCCTGGCCAACTGTACTTGCTCCCTAGGCCAGCTAAGAACTGGCTTTGTTTCTCTTACCCAAGACTATGAATTTATTGCTCTCTTTGGACTGAGGAACATTCCAGCCTCCTTCCAACATCTATTAAATAGGAATTAGCCTTGACTATTTTGATGACTTTGCTGCTATGTGTCAAATATGGAGTCATAATACTTTATTTTTGAAAATTATTCATTTATTTCATTCTACTCTTTTTGTGTTTTTTCCACCACTTTTGGTTCAGCCCAACAAACACTTATTGAGAAACTATTAAATACTAGGCACTTTGCTAATTGAATGAAACATAGTCCTTGTCCCCTGAGGAGCATATATTAGGGTACTAGAACTAGTTGTTAAGCACCCACTGTGTTCAATGCATTCTAAAGACATCATCTTTCATCTTCATAAGATTATAAGAAAGATATTGTATTCCCCCATTTAGTGGTGAGGAATCTGAGACTCAGAGTCCAAGTCTATACTGTAAGTGACAGAACTAGGATTTGAACCTAGGTCAGTCTGGCTCCAAAGCTCATGCTCATTCTACAACAATAAATTCATTCTGAGTGCATACATGAGCAGGGTAGGTCAGCATACTATTAAAAGCTTCTATTCTGTATAATTCAATTTTAAATGTTAAAGATGTACTAAAAAAAAAGTTAATTCTGGGACATGTTTCTCAATAGACATTTTTAAGGATAGAAACCAATGACCCAGCAAGGTGTTTCACACGTTAGACTTTGAGTAATGTTTGCTTAATGAATATAAAATGTGTCTTTAGAATAATCAGGTTGGTAGACTGATAATATGCTCTACCAAGTATCGATTTGGGGTATGAGAAGTAGTAATTTGAATTTCATAGAGGTGGGGGGGGTGGCTACCTCATCTCCTGAGACAAAGTACAAAATTTGCTGAAATAAGAATTAACAAGGAATAGAAGGTATTTGGGTGGAGAGAAGGTATTTAATAGGTACTACACAAGGCACAAACCTTAATTTAGAAAGTTTTAAAATAGTTTCTTGGTCTTTTCTGTTTGCATGTACTTCAGTTAAAAAGTTACAAAGAATACTGAATTTCTGAGTGTCAGTGGGCATTTGACCAGGTGAAATCATTTTCCTCAAAATACATAGTCTTTACTACCTTGGGTAATAATCAAAGATGTTATGCCTCCGTAATCGTTGACAACCAGTTCAGAGCATGTTAATTCTGAGTAGTAATTTAGAACTGGAGAATTGGAGGAGAAAAAGATACAGCAAGGGGTACCACCTAGTGGCCATCCAGAAGCTGTAACAATTTAATCATCCTTTGGCATTAGGAAAAATTCAGCACACTGACCATCCTTATAACTCTGTGGTGGGTTCTCAGCAGACAGAAGCTTGACTTCCAATCCATTTTCTAGATCTGGAAAAATTGAGTATGAGTCCTCCAGATACTAAGGGCAGGTAATCACAGATTTGAATCAGAGAGAATTAAAGTTGTTTCCTGAACTTAATAGAGTGGAGTGGGGAAATGTGAAATCATAATGCTTTCCTTCTTTGCTGATTTTCCCCTGGAAAAGTGTGATGTTGTTTATGCCTAATCTATGACAACTCACCAGTCCTTCTTTCTATGGATGAGCTCCAGGGGTGGTAGGAGCAAATGTGACCCAATATTTGCAAAGGAAAATTCTTTTTTTTTTTTTTTACGATTTTATTTATTAGAGTGCACGTACGTGAGAGAGAGAGTGTGTGTGTGTGTGTGAGAGAGAGACAGAGAGAGAGAGAAAGAGCAAGGGCAGGGGGAGAGGGAGAAGCAGACTCCCGACTGAGCAGGGAGCCCGACGTGGGACTCCATCCCAGGACCCTGGGATCATGACCTGAGCCAAAGGCAGGCGCTTAACCAACTGAACCACCCAGGCACCCCTAAAAAGGAAAATTCTTAAAGAGAATTGCTCACAAGAGACTGACAAATCCTACTTTAATTTTTTTGGTGTAATTCCAGACTTACAGAAAAGCTGCAAGAATAATACAAAGAATTCTTATATATATTTCACCCCAGTTTCCCAAATATGTATATTTTACCAGGCTTGCATTTCTTTTATTGCTCTCTTTCCCAATCTCTCTCTCTCTCTTTACACACACACACACACACACACACACACACACACACACAATTTGAGAATAAATTGCAGACATAATTCCCTGTTGCTCCTAAATACTTTAATATGTAACTCTAAAAATAAGGAAATTCTCTTACTAAAGTCAGGAAATTATCATTGATTTAGTACTATCATCTAATGAACAGACCTTATTACAATTTCATCAATTATTCCACTAACAGACTTCATAGTAAAAGGAAAAAACTATTGTCCAGGATTTAATCCTAACTAAATGCACATATTACATTTAATTTTTATGTTTCTTAAGTCTTTTTAAATCTAGAACAATTCTTTAGTCTTTCTTTATCTTGCATGACTTGGCTAAAATTAAGTAACAATATCATAATACTAACAAATTATAAACTATAGAAAAAAAAAGAATCCATGAGTTCATGCTGGTATGTATAAATGACTAAATGAGGAAGAAGGAAAAGTTCTTCCTAAGGAGAATGCTAACTAACAAATGCAGAAGGAATGATGGAATGAGAAAATCATAACTTGATAACCATGGTAGTAATAATCAGGTAAAAGTCATTAAAACTAGATATTATTGGATATTAAAACTAGTAGGTGCAAGATTGTTGAGTAATAGGATGTTTACATAATTTCAAAGTATTTCCCCACAAAATACATATTAATTACAAAGAGAAAAATAATTTTACATTGAAGAAGGCTGGAAGACAGCTGCCTTAACACGGGATGAAAGTTAACATCACCAGTAATGATACAATTAGACAGTGTGTGCCTCCTGATAGGAAGCTCTGAGATGGACACATCACTTTTTGGGTATTCTTTGCCTAATGTATAACCCGAATTTAAACATAAGGAAATATCAGGCAAATCTAAATTGAGGGACAATCTATAAAATAAATGGCTTATATTCTTCAAATACTGCCTTTTAACTAGAGAACGTATAGCTTCCCTAACAGCCTGACTTTAGACTGGGTGTATGAGTTAGGGTGGTTAAGGAAGATTGAGTTCTTCAGGGCAAAGGTCAGGTCTTTTTTTGATCTGGGGATGCTCTGAGTCCTTCCATCAGGAGACAGCTGTGCCCATCAGGATGCCCTGGGGCCAGAGGTGTCAGGTCCAGGAGACCCCATCTCTACTGTAAGGTGTTTGGCCAGGGCCTTGGAGTATTCCAGAATTTGGAGGTATTTCCCAAGGGCATAGATATAGGACAAATGAAAGAATGCAGAAGGTGGAAATATCTTGGTTCTGGGGAATAAGAACTAGGAAGTTAAGCTGGTTTAGGAAGAGAAAAGTGAATTTTCAGAATGACAATATCAAGAGACAATTTCTGAGTGGAGTTCAGTCTTTCTGAGGTAAGTTGAGAGAAGAAGAGGAGACCTTGTAGGCTAAGATATTCCCTGGTTTCCCCAATGCCTTATTAGCCTCCCCAGACAACTCTAGGGGAGGGTAGGCCCAATGGGATCCCATCTAGGTAGCATCTCTGGCCCCAGGGCAAATGGGCTTTCCTGTCTCCTCTGGAGAATGGATATAGGAAACAGTGAGCAGGACACAGCCTCTTGGGTTGGTTTCTAGTGACCTACGGAATGACAAGCTCCAGTGCCTATTATTACACAAAAGTGATGTCCGAGCTCTTCTTACATACCCCGTCAGACACCGGAGTCTCCTTCCAGGCCATCAGCAGCATGGCGGACTTCTGGGATGTGAGTATGAGATTCCCTCTACCTCTCCCCTCTCCTTTTCAATGGCCTGAAGCAAAAAGCCACAGGCCAGGGCTCAGGAGTGTCAGACAGTAGACCAGGCCATATCCAGAGACCAGATCATTCTGGGACCAGGCTGAGTCAAAGGGTCAAGCAAGAATCAATGGGTCAGACTGGAGTTTAAGTGAAGGTAGATAAGAGGGATGATGAAGGTGAAGGGATGATGATCAGGGAGTCAAGCCAGAGTTAAACTAGTACTGAGAGTCAGAGGTAAGGCTGAAATTCAAAATGCATTTTAAATAAAGAGTAGGGCCACATCAGGTCAAGAACTGGTCAAGGTTCATGGGTCAGCTGGAGTCCAACAGAAGCAGACTAGAGACAAGCTGGGGGGTCAAGGAGTGAAAGCAAAAGTCATTCCAAGAATAAGGGTCAGGATGAGGCAGGGTCAAGCTCAACCCAGCTTGTGGTCTAGTTTGCCCAGGGCCCACTACTGGACAGTTTGTATTGGACCAAATGGTACAACAACCAGAGCCTGGGCCAAGGCTCCCACTCCTTCATCTACTATGAGAACCTGTTGCTGGGGGTTCCAAGGCTACGGCAGCTGAGGGTCCGCAATGACTCCTGTGTGGTGCATGAGGACTTCCGCGAGGACATTCTGAGCTGCTACGATGTCTACTCTCCAGACAAGGAAGAGCAGCTCCCCTTTGGGCCTCTCAATGGCACAGCGTGAGTGAGTCCCCCCACCAACGTTGCCGGGCTTGCTTCTCTAAGCCTGACACACCATCCTGAGGTTTGGGAACCATTTCCACTAGTCTTAAAGAGCCTTAGGGGAGCGGAGGGTGGGGAGCATCTCTCTGAGTCCCATCTTTGACTGTTTGGAGGTCTTGGTTTGGGTCACTCAGGAACAGAGAAGGTACATTAGCAAACAGAGCCATAGCCTCTGGACTCGTTTCCCTACACAGATTGCAGTCACATTTGCCCTACTCTGGAGGCAGTCCTGCCAGAGAAAGCATCCTTTCTTGCCCAGATGTTCTTAGGTGTATGGAGAATGGATGAAACACTGATGTTGCTACACAAATCGTAATTGGAAGAGTCTGACCCTTGGACCTGATAGGGGAAGCAGCAAGGAGTTGAGGATGGATGAAGAATTAGGAAAGAAGGGGGGAAAGGATGGATAGGACATGAAAGAAGGGGAAGGAAGGGAGGGCCCAGGGAGGAAATCTGTGGACAGAACAGAGAATGGTGGGGTGAAGCAGCCAGGTGCACAACCACAAGAACAGGAAGTGTCTTTTCTGGATTATGTGAGCCAGGTGTTTCCCTAGTGGGAACTACTCAGACTGGGGTCAAAAGTGAGGCATGAGTTTGCCATCCTTAGTTTTGGGGAACATCATGAGAAATCAGGAAATTTATATTTGAGTTTCAGTTCAGCCACTAACTAGCTGCATTATCTCAGACATCTCTGAGTCTTAGGTTCCTCATCTTCAAATGTGGATAATATTTACCTTCCTTTCTCACATAGTTGTTAGTATCAAACAAGATAATACATGTGAAATATATATTATATGTGATATGTATATATAATATATATGAAATTGTAAAGCCCAGGCAATCATAAAGTGTTGCCATTGCCTTGGGAGATCAGCTTTTGGACTGGCTCAGACCTCTCTGCTCAGATGGTTTCTTCTGTGACAGGTGGACATACCATTCACAGGATGAGCTGGGGGGCTCCTCTCACTGGGGTCAGTTGACAAGCTACAGTGGAGGTGGCTACTATCTGGACCTTCCAGGATCTCGACAGGCCAGTGCAAAAGCACTCCAGGACCTTCAGGAGGGCCTATGGCTAGACAGGGGCACTCGAGTGGTCTTCATCGACTTCTCAGTCTACAATGCCAACATCAATCTTTTCTGTGTTTTGAGGTGGGTCCCCTTTCCTTATCTTCCCTCCATCCATGGTTCCTGGTTCCCTTCTCTGATTGAGACCCTTCCTTAAACTTGTACCCTATGGTGGGGTTGTGGAGGAGAGGGGATGGGAAGAACTATCCCAGTCCAGGCCTCACCAGTTATCTCCCCCTCCTCCCACAGACTGGTAGTGGAGTTTCCAGCTACAGGAGGTGCCATCCCATCCTGGCAAATCCGCACGGTTAAGCTGATCCGCTATGTCAGCAACTGGGACTTCTTTATCATTGGCTGTGAAATCATCTTCTGCATCTTCATCCTCTACTACGTGGTAGAGGAGATCCTGGAGCTCCACATCCACCGGCTTCGTTACCTCAGCAGCATCTGGAACATTCTGGACCTGGTGGTTATCTTGGTGAGGGACAGATATCTTATACTTGGGACATAGTAGGAGGAGGAAGGGGATCTACCCTGTTAGGGACTCCAAATTCTTCCTTTTGGAGTGTCAAGTCCTCTTTATCACTTCTGGTCAAATCACTGTGTGAAAGCTCCCTAAAGCCAGAGGCTTATGTTCCCCTAGCTCAGCCCCTGGGAAAAACCTGTCTCCCATATGCCTTTTCCCTCTGACCTGTGATCCAGGCGCTGCCTTTTTTTATGTACTGTCTATTTTCTCTTCTGTCTTTTGCCTTAATGACCTGTCCCTTTGAAACCCCTACCTTCTCTCTTTTCTTCTATTAAAATATTCTGCCTCTTCATCTTCATCTTCTTCCTATTAACAGGATACATTAATTTCTTGACCAAGGCTAGGAAGTGGTGGGAGAAATAACATTACTTGGCCCCAATTCTCCATGATCCTTTACAACCTACATATGTACCACAGGCTCCAAAGCCTTCTCCTTGGGATTTAAGACATTCCCCCAATCATCCTATTCAGTTTCATTTGTACCTGAAATAGTCAACAACTCAGAAGGGAAGGATTTTTTTTTCCCACTTGACTTACCTACCCCAGCTCTCCCCTAGGACCTTATCATTGAACTTCCCTTGAGATCCCGACTTCTCTGATGCCTCTGACCCCTGTGATGACAGCTCTCCATTGTGGCCGTGGGCTTCCACATATTCCGAACCCTTGAGGTGAATCGGCTGATGGGGAAGCTCCTGCAGCAGCCAAACATGTATGCTGACTTTGAGTTCCTCGCCTTCTGGCAGACACAGTACAACAACATGAATGCTGTGAACCTCTTCTTTGCCTGGATCAAGGTACGTTGGGACCCCTCATCCCCAGCAACACCTCACGGCACTCATTCTCCCTTCCTCAGTACTTGTCTCATTTTCCTTGTCTGGTTTGGCAACTCTGGTGACCTCCATAGGCCCCTGGAGTGGACTATTCAAAGCTTTTCTCTTTTCTTCCCTCACTGCTTGGTTCAACATGGCACTTTCAGATATTCAAGTACATCAGCTTCAACAAAACCATGACTCAGCTCTCCTCCACGCTGGCCCGCTGTGCCAAGGACATCCTGGGCTTTGCCATCATGTTCTTCATCGTTTTCTTCGCCTATGCCCAACTTGGCTACCTGCTTTTTGGAACCCAAGTGGAAAACTTTAGCACTTTCATCAAGTGCATGTGTGTGTCCTGCCCCCTTCACTCCTCCCTGGGCCCTCACCCTCCAGCTCTGTGGGTGTGTGTATCCTTGGGGAAGCTGGGTGTATGTGTGCGGGCGTGTCTGTGCTTAAAGCATCTGTGTGAGAATCTCCAGAATCTCTGGTGTGTGTGCTCAAGTATCTCTGTACCTCACTCTCTATCAGGTTGGAAGTGCAGTGAGAGGTCTGAGTTCACCAAAGAGCAGCAATTAGGAAAGTGGGTTGGGGTGTGAATAGGGGTCAGGGTTATGGTTAGGCTCTGGGTGAAGCCCAGACACTGGTCTCTCAGTTTCACTCAGTTCCGGATCATCCTTGGGGATTTTGACTACAACGCTATTGACAATGCCAACCGCATCCTGGGACCTGCCTACTTTGTCACCTATGTCTTCTTTGTCTTCTTCGTGCTTCTGGTGAGGGTCTCTCTGAGAGGTGGGCATTGGGAGCTTGAGGGGTGGAAACATAAAGGACCTGAGGGTGAGGTTTTGCCCCCCACCATGGTCTGTACTCAGGATTAAGATGGGTGTCTCAAATCATGGGTGGAGAATGAGGTGGGGGAGCTCTGGGTCTCCTGAGAGCTGGCTAATGTGCTCAATATTGCCAGCACAGCCAGGTAATTTGCAGAGTATAAGGAAATCTGCAGGCTCCCTCAGTAAAACGAAGCCTCTATTTTCCAAAGATGGAAAGGGAGAGAAATGTGCCCCATGAAGAGAAGTGGTTGAACCTAGAAGCTTCTATATCTATTCTCTCCTTCCTCTAGGCATCTCTGGCTATTTCTATCACCATTACTTTATAGTCTCTCTTTCTCTCTGCCAACTATGAAAGATCTGGGTTTAATATTTATTAACAAAGCCAGCAGGTTTCTTTATTTGATCATAGTTACGGATAGATGGGTTAGATTGGGGTTATATGATAAAGATAGCAAAACTATACTCTCAGTGATTGGTTGGCCCTTATATGGAGGTGAACTCTTGCATATGATGGGGTATCATTGTAGTCAGGTTACTGCAGAACAACTGAGTGAGGATAGCAGTTGGGTGAGGGAGCTTGATCCATCCCTAACAGGATTGTGCTGAACAGGGCTCTGGGGACCCTGAGATGTGGGGGTTAGTGGGCTGCAGAGCTGCAACTGAAAGCATTGGCTCCTTTAGAACATGTGTCTGGGATATTAATAGGGTTAGTGGGCTCATTGCTGTTAGTGGGTCTGGGGGTGAAGACCCAGGTCCCTACTTTATCTCCAGAACATGTTCCTGGCCATCATCAATGACACATATTCAGAGGTCAAGGAAGAGTTGGCTGGACAGAAGGATGAGCTGCAACTTTCTGACCTCCTGAAACAGGTAACCACTCAGTCTCCTTGAGCCACACATCTGTGTCAGGGACCAGGTCCAAGGCTCTGTGTCCTGGTCTATTCCTGACTGGTGTAGGGCCCTGTGCCCACCCTTGTGTGGCTTTGACTTATCCCTGGAAGCCTGGCATCTTGTGGGTGAGGAAGGGGGCAAGGGATGATGAGAAGGCTATAGGAACTGGTACTTATTTCCTTTTCCCTTCCAGGGCTACAACAAGACCCTACTGAGGCTGCGTTTGAGGAAGGACCAGGTTTCAGATGCACAGAAGGTCCTGCAGGGTGGGGAGCAGGAGATCCAATTTGAGGATTTCACCAACACCTTGAGGGAGTGAGCAACCAGAAATCCAACCTTCTGATATTGGTCTATAAGTCCTTGGCCCTCAACCATATACCCTTTGCCTAAAAACCTCCGATGTTGGCCTATGGGCCTCTGACCTTGGCTTTTGGCCTTTGACTTTGGCCTATATATCTCTGATTCTGATCTTCAGAATTGTGCCCTTGGTTTAAAGGTCTCTGACCATGTTCTAGAACATTCTGGACCTCACTGAACAACTTGTAGGACTAATGTAATAATACAATTTCTTCAACATTACATACATTTCTCACTCCCGCAAAACTCTGTAGTTGGTTCTGTGCTCCCCCACAAACATTGACCTATTCTCTTAGCATGCCTGTTTCCCAGTTAAACATATGAGCAAACACTGAACAAATATATTGTGAGCACCAGTTGTAAGCCAGGCACTAAGTAGGGCACACAATTAATGAGACAAAGCCTTGTCCTCCAGGAGCTCATACACATGTAAGCAAATAAACTGAATCACAGAACAAGTTCAACAAAGAAGTGACTAGAAGAGAGGGAGCACAAAGTAAAGAGAGTATTCAATTCTATTTTTAAGCTTAAGGGAAGGCTTCCAGGAAGAGGTGATGCATGAATACCTACAGGAGGATGAATAGCCTACCTGTAGACAAGCAGGGGAAGTCCATTCCAAGAAAGATGAAAGCACCTACAAAGGCATAGAAGTGTTAAGTTGAGCAACATGTATAGGAATAATAAGTAGCTAAGCATTGCTAAGGTATCAAATAAAAGTGGGGCATAGCAGGAGATGAGACCAGAGTAATGAACAAGGGCTACACTGAGAAAGGCCTTGAATACCACCATTCTATCCAAAGAATAGGGTGTCCAGGAGGGATTTTAAGCAGAGAAGGGGTGTATTTAGACATGCACTTTAGAAAGATTAATTACTTTAGTTGCATTATAGAGGATGGATTTCAGGGGTAGGGAGTGAAGGGGAAGCCAGTGGGGTGGGAGTGGGGGGATGGATTATTTAGAGGTAAAGACATTTTGCAATAATTCCTATAGAACACCAAGAGGGCCTGAACCTAGTCAGCAGGACTAAGAGAAGGAAGACATAGCTTTAAAACAATTTATTGGAGGTAAAATTGCTAGACCTTGGAAATCCTGGCTTTCCTATGTGGTCCCATTCTTCCACAGAGAGCAAAAGTCAGAGAGTCTGGAAAAAAAAGTGGGGAGTCCATAATTGAGAGATCACAGCCACAGCAAGTCAGAAGTCATTTCATCATACTGTTTTCCTCAGACTCAGGCACGCAGAGCATGAAATCACTGAGCTCACAGCTGCCTTCACCAGGTTTGATCAAGATGGGAATCACATCCTGGACAAGAAAGAGCAAGAACAAATGCAACAGGACCTGGAGGAGAAGAGGGTGAGCCCAGTTGGTTGGGGGAGAGGCAGTGAAAGAAAACCATTCACTCTCCCCTCCCTGCGAATACACCCAGAACACAAATCCAGACTGAAAACCCTTCAATAGATGGACAGGAAAGAAGTCTCTAGAATAGTGGTTCTCAAACTGTTGCACATTAGAATACCCTGGTGGGGTGGGGGTGGGGAGTCAAATAATCCTCATACTCAGGTCACATACCCTAGACAGAATCTCTGGGGGAGTGAGGGACCCAGACATCAGTACTTTAAAAAACTCACCAGTTGATTCCAATGCATAGCCAAGGTTGAGAACCACTGCTCTAAAACAGAGTCTGAGGGGGAAAGGTTCAATTACCCGAGAATCCCTGACAATTCTTTCTGAGGACTTGCCTTCTCCTTGGGACTTTCAAACTCGGATCCTTAGCTGCCCCTGCTGTGCCTGCTTCATCCCTATCCAGTGTAGACCCAAAAATCAAGGGCAGGAGGGAAAGTGGCAGGAATTCTGGTACTGTTCTTCCTTTCCCAAACTGAGTTGGCTTCTAGTGAGGGTCTCATTAATCAAGGCTTCCAAGAGCTCATGTTTTGTTTCTGTGGGAGGTGATTCTCTCCCAGAGGTTGGTCCAGCTTTGTGTCCAGCACCACCACACTGATCCTGTTATCTCTAGAGTTTGAGAGGGAAGGGGAATGCATGAACTGGAGCCCAAGGGCCTTGTCCTGGGAGACCATGAGAGCAGGTGATGAAATAGGAGCTGATACTTCCCAGAGTCATCTTCTCCTCTCTCACTTCCTGATCAGGTGGCCCTCAACGTCGAGATTGAGAACCTGGGCCAGCCCATTGTGAGTAGTCCACCAGGCAAGTCAGGTCCAGAGGCTACCAGAGCAGGTGGCTGGGTTTCAGGAGAAGAATTCTACACGTATGTGCAGCCAGGGGCCCAGGGCTGAGTGTGTTTGTAATGTCCTACCCTGAGCTTTTTTCTCAACCTTCTAATTTTCCGTCCTAGTCCAGGGAGAACCTCTGCCCCCCTTTAATTCTCCCTACAAGGCTGGGCCTTACCTTCCTTGCACCCATCCAGACACAGACCATAATGGCTCTCCTACCCCTATAGATGCTTAGCCCCACAGATGCATATTTCTGCTCCCTCAGTCTCTCTCAAATCCTGCAGACTCACAAGGAGAGTTCTTCAGTTGGAGATTGTCCTGGAAGGAGTCATGTCCCAGGTGGATGCTGTGGGCTCAAAGCTAAAGATGCTGGAGAGGAAGGGGCAGCTAGCTTCCTCCCCAGGCCTGGTGAGTGGCCCTTCACCTGGTTCCTCTTGGTTCCCCACATTTGAACTCTACCATCTTTTCTACTCAGTGGGTGGAAGCAAACCATTTTTGAAAGAGTCTGTTTCCAGGCTCTTGGGGCAACATGTTCATAGCAGTCACTGTATCAGTGGAGGGAAGGGATGGAGGGAAGGCCTGCAGTTGGTTGCTCTGGCCTGAGGGCTGCCTTGGCCTCCAGGAGAGTCTGAGGTTGAAGAATCAGACCCAGATTTTCTAGATGAAAGGAAGTGGGACACAAACTCCTTCTTCAAATGACCTGTCCCTTTTTCTTCCAACAGGGAGATCAAGGCATTTGGGAGCACCTGCAGCAAACCCCAGCTGTGACTCCAGCCCCCTGGGGAGTCCAGGGTGGGCAGGAGAGTGGTGGGGGAGGGGCCCTAAAGCATCAGACAGCAGCCTCCTCTCTCATTGCCTCCCCAGAGACCTCCTCAGGACATGCCCTCCACTTCTAGGGCAGCAGTTCCCTCCACTGCTACTGCAGAGTCCCACCCTGTGTTTGGCCTCTTGAACCAATGTTTCTACGTGTAGCTTGCATCATGCTTAGGCTTGTGACTCAGTGTTTCTATGTGTAGCCATGTAGCTCTGTGTAGCTCTTTGAGATAACATTTGCCACTGGGCCCCTCACTCCCTGTGCTCTCAGCTCTGCTGTGATGAAAAAAAAAAAGTTAATAAACAGAATAAAGGAAGGGAGGGTTATGTTCCCTAAGCACCTGGCATCTGGATAGCCACGGTTTGTGAAAAAAGTAGAAGCCTAGAGAGCAGCATTCTCTAAATGTCTTCCTATTTGCCAGTGAATCTTATCCTTTGTGCATCTAGAGATCTGCTGCTAGTACCCATGGGATTCTTGTCTTCCTCATAGTTTCCAGGTGAAAGAGAAGGGGAAGCCTTGGAGGAGAGGAAACTTTCTCACATGTGGAGATTATAATGTTGCAGAGGTGTTGGAATGCCCCTCCATCCAGGGCAAAGACCATGAAGGCTCAGTTGAGGAGGCTGCTCACGACATTCCACTAAACACTGGGAACTGACAGGGCTGTAAACAGGGACATAGATGGGGCCTTAGGAGAATCAGACAAAGAAATGATTTCTGGATTCAGAGATCTTTGGAATAAAATGTGGTGGGCTCTGACACTATTCTTGCAAAGGACATATGGGTTTCTCTGGTGACTATCAATAAAAATCCTTAGAAAAATCAGGACTTTGCATTTGCTTCTGGGATTGTAGGGGGAAGAAGAGAGGCTGGAGCTGTGAACCATTCTTGTATTTGGGCTGGAGCACTCATCCCTGCCAGGAGGGGTAGACTGGCAGCCGTGACAATGTGAAGGGGCTGAAATAAGAACTTCTGGCTCATAGGAATGATTTGAAATGGTGGGCATTATGATTACCATTTAGAGAGTGGAGACAGTGACCTAGGGAGACCTGGTCCTCAGGATGAAAAGAGTAAGGTAGCCCTTACACTGGTATGAGGGGTAGCTGGGTTGTGTGTGTGTGTGTGTGTGTGTGTGTGTGTGTGTGTGTGTGGTGTAGGGTGTGGAGGTGAGAGGGTGAGATGGAGAATAACTAAGAACAGGACTAAAAACTTCTACACTAGGATTTTGGGTGTATAGGTCTGTGTCCCAAGACCCACTATATACCTTTTTCCCTTCTCCTGTAATCTTTACCTCTTTCTCATTTTGCACCTTGCTCCCCAGTTGCTTTTTCTCATCCATTCCCTTCTCCCACCCTTTTCACCATCCCATCACATACACTCTATACACCTAGGAGACTTGTGAAACAGCTAAATGCAATCAAGATAACCAGAGTGTATCCTCAGCTGTAAAAAGTTACAAAGCTTTCTTCCAGAAAGACTGTATCAGCTGAAGAGAAGTAGGTGCCAACTTGCAGCTCAAGAAAAAGGGGCAAATGAGTTGTTTAACCAAGACATTGGAAGGGCCAGTATTTCGGCTCAGGGATCAATGAGTGAAGGTTTCCCAAAGGCTGGATGAGACTACCTTCAAAAGCATGGATTCCCTGAGCAGTCTTTGGCGACAAATACCAGCCTGGGTGGGGAGTGTCTAGGGAGAGGATAACCTGTCCCTGTGACTTTGGTCAGTAGGCCACCAGAGCTAAACCAATCCCAGAGAGGTCGTGGGTCTTACTACACTAGTGACAGGGATGAGCGCATTCTCAGTTCCAGACGTCGAGACTCTTGGCAACGGATCAATTCACAATAGCTTATCTTAGCTTCAATTTCAGCTTCAAGCTTACTCTTTGTTATTTCTCGTGTAAGCGTAAACCGCATGACTCAGTGGAGAGGTGGCGTATCCCAAGGCTGCGAACCCAGGGCGGGGAGGGCGGGGCACGCCCGGTGCGCAGGCGCGGGCATCCCACAACCGGAAGCAGCGCGGGGCCAGGCATGGCGGCGTCTGCGGCGGCCCAGGGTGTCTCCGCGACCCAAAGAGAGGAGCCGGTTCGAGGTACGTCGAGTAGCTGGGGATGAAGTGTCCAGCAGGAGGCTGGGGGCTCACCTGGCAGGAGCGAGCAGGTCGGAGGGGCGCACCTGACCTGAGGACTTGGGGTGGTTTGGCCACGGGATCGGGTCTGAGCCAAGGGCCGGTGCAGGGGAGCAGAGTTGGCGTGTCAGGTGGGGCAAGGACAAAGTAAGGGACTTGGAGTTACGGCACATGGAGAATGGAGCCGACTTGATCGAATGAGGCAGGTGGAGGGATGTGGGGAGAGGGTGCCGTGGCTGGATTAGGACCCGGAGTAGGGCGGGACACTTACTCGTTCTCCTTTGATTCAGACGATGCCGCCGTGGAGACAGCTGAGGAGGCAAAGGAGCCGGCTGAGGCTGACATCACTGAGCTCTGCCGGGACATGTTCTCCAAAATGGCAACTTACCTGACTGGGGAACTGACGGGTGAGGCGGGGTGTGGGCTGATTCGGGTACTGCCCTGCGCCACTCGCTGGAGCTGTAGTTTGGCTCTGGGAGCTGTGAGGTGCTTTAGCAGCATCAGTCTGTGGCTCCCTCCCCAACACTCCCCATGCCCTGAAATGTGCCTGTTGGAAGTTTGGGAAGGTTATGAATGGGAAAGAAGAAGGTCCATTCCTTCCCTGGAGAAATTCACTAGCTAATTTCAGAAATACATAAAAATACCTAATATAACTGCAAGCCTTGGTGGTGTAGACTAAGTATGAGAAGACAAAAAAGAATTCATCAAGAAGTGCTTCCTTGGAGGAGGTGTATTTTGAGCAGAATTGTGAAGGGAATGACTGACCAAAAAGGGGGAAACGATTGGTGAGTGAGGCGTATAAGCAAGCAGTTTGTTCCCTTAAAGCAGATGTATTTACTAGGGCAAAGAGAAATGAAATGGGGGAATGGAGAGTGACCTGCAGATTTAGGGACCTACTAGGTTGGTCTGAGGATTTGGTGACCCACACTTGGGGACATGATTAATTTTGGGTTCCTTGTGTATTTCCAGGTGAACACATGACCTGTGTGTGGAGAAAGGTCCAAAAAGTGAAGTTTGGTCCTGTGTGGCCTCTCATAAGCATTGTTTCACTTCCCCAGGAAATTGCTGTGAGCTAAATTTGGGAACCAGAATTAATGAGAAAATGCCTGATGGAGAGTGGGAGGGCTTGTGAGGCTCCATCAGTCTGATTAGTTTTTTTAGTTATTTCTGAGCAAGAGAAACCAAGTAACAAAATCTAGATTTTTGGCTTCTCTTTAAAAATTCCAAAGATTTGGCAATACTAGTTCCTCATTCTTGTGATGCTGTGATTGACTAGAGCTGAGCAGCTGTCTCCTCTAAATGGTCTAGTGCAATGCAGTGTGTCCCCACTACTCTTTTTTCTCCCTTTTACTGGGACCTGGTCAGTTGCCATTTATCACTGTTCTTACAGTGTTGTTTTTTTTTAGTAGTGGTAGAGAAATGATTTTCTGGACCAATATTTCTATCCAAGTTGGTAAAGTAAATGATAGGTAAGATGACTGCATGTTCTAAGAAATGGGAGAGAGCATATTTCTTTGTGGAAGTGAATAATCTTATGTTTTTAACATGCAAACACCTGGCTTACTTCATTCATTTACATGATCTTGCAGGCTCCTAGGTATTAGAGTGTGACCCTTTTTTTTTTTTTTAGAGAGACTAATTTGCTAGCAGAGTACGGTTGTGGAGGAGAGAGCTCAGACACATGAGCAAGATTTCGAATGAAGAGTAATGACGATGGTCAGTGACAGGGTGATGGTAAAAGAAATGGAAAGGAGAGCATGTCTGCAAGAATTTCACAGAAGTGGAATTTATAGGACTTGTTGAAGGGCCTATGGAGGGATGGGAGCAGCTTAAGAGGTGTTCTAGGTTTTAAACTGATGGTACCATCATCTAAAATAGGGAAGTGGGAAAGCAGAACCATGTTTAGTGTAAAAAATATTTTTGGTTTTGGCTTGGCTGATTTTAGATATTACCAGGACACTCAGGTGACTTGCACTTGTGAGTCCTGAGTTCAGAGAGTGATCTGAGCAGGGGAAACAGATTTGGGAGTCACCTGCACAGCGGTGTGAGTCAAGGCTCTGCAGGATGAGATTGGCAGGGATGTGCTTAGGGGTAGCTGAGGGCCTCAACTATAATCTCAGTGAATGCTTATATAGGGCAATTAATTTTTTCTAACAACAGTTCTTAAAGTACCTAGGTTTATAAATGATTTACTTATCATAAAATTAATTTTAAACAGAATGTAATTCCCTGTGATTATCATTCTTACTTGTACAAATGCTTTTTTGAGTTTGAAAGGAAGCTAGCATCACCCTGGGAATGCCCATAGGAATGTGCCACCCATGTAAACGTCATTTGGGTCACAGCTGAGAAAAAATTGGGAAGTGATAGTTAAGGATAAATGAGAAAGGATCTAGCATAGAAACCTACAAAGAGTGGATTGAAAGAGATGAGAAAATCAGGGTAATACCATGACGTAGCAGCCAAGGGAAATGAGCATTTTGTGAAAAGAGGGAGATCACCGTGTCAGGTACTATGGAGAGGTTAAGGAGGATAATAACAGAAAACACCGCTGTGGATTTGGTGCTTTGGAGAGCACCGATGACCTTGGAGCATGTAATTTCCCTGGCTGGTGGGGGCAAAGGCCAGGCTGCAAGGGTTTACATGAGTGAATGGTGAGGAAGAGGAAGCGGTGAATATGAGCTGGTCTTTCACAAGGGTTAGCAGTGAAGCTCCTTTGCTTTACTGAGCAAATGATGTAGGTGTAGCAGAAGAGAGAGAGTGCTTTTGGGCTGGAGAAAAACCTGAATATATTTCTAGATAGTGAGGAAACTGCCAGGATAGAGAATTTGGAAATGCCAGGGAAAGGAGATGATTGAAAAGAGGCCCTGAAGAAGTGGAAGCAAGAGCACGGGAGAAGTTGTCTTGGCAAGAATAGGAGCACTCCTGCCTCTTGGGAAGATAGAAAGGTACAGAGAAGTTTTGAAGTGAGGCAGAAAGGTTGAGGCAGCTCATGTAGGTGGAATTTTCCACTTTTCAGGAAAATTGGAGGAAAAGCCATTTGCTTTGAGTAGGGATGGGGAAGGGAACAAAGAAGAAGGAGTGCATAAAATGCGATATAGAATCACACAGTAATAAATGAGTTACTAAGAAATGGTTCCTAGTTGATTTTATATGTATTTATGATGCAGTCCTCCAGATTACATGTTATCATACCATAGAAATACCAATATTATGTCACCTTCTCTTTTCTTAGGACATGAATTTATTTTTTTTAATTAAAAAAATTTTTAAAGATTTTATTTATTTGTATGACAGAGACAGACACAGCGAGAGAGGGAACACAAGCAGGGGGAGTGGGAGAGGAAGAAGCAGGCTTCCTGCGGAGCAGGGAGCCCAATGCGGGGCTCGATCCCAGCATCCTGGGATTATGACCTGAGCCGAAGGCAGACACTTAATGACTAAGCCACCCAGGTGCCCCAGGACATGAATTTATTATTTTCCTTTTTAACAAAGGTTCTGAAGTCTCTGGATCTTATTTGGTTTAAATAGTTTGCTAATTATTACCTGGGTTTCTACTTAGACATTCAGAGTACACAGGCTGAGTATAAATGTCATAAATCAGTAGTGGCCTGCTCCTTTGACATTCACTGCATCCTGTCTTGAACTACCATTTGGCCTATGATTCCACATTCCAGTAATCTATGACAAATCTTAAAGGCAT